TTCTTGGAAAAATAATTTTCAACTGGATTTTTAAAGCAAATAAAACAACTTAACACATCTCCTTTTTTGGCAATTGGAAATATCCAAATAAATTTACTGTAAGCATCCATGAAGTGCACATAAAACTTATTTCCATTGAAAGAAGGGATGGAAGAAACCCATACATTAGAGTAAATCAAATCTAGAGGGGATGAAACTGGGGTAGAGGGTGAGGGGAAAGGAAGAGCATGGCTCTTGCCCATTTGACATGCTGAACAAACAGACTGATTTTTGTTTGTCAGAGTACCAATCTGCTGAAGTACATGATAAACAGTTCGATAAGCAGAATGACCAAGTCTTTCGTGCCACTGAACAAAAGAGTCATGTAGAAGGGCATCTTTATTCTGGAATGAGGAGGGCTTGTTGAAGCGAAGTTCATATAAGCCATTAATGCTCGGGCCTTGAAGAAGAAGTTTCCCCGTGCGTAGATCCTTGACACAAAAATAAGATGGATAAAATTCGAAGCAGCAGTTGTTATCCGTGGCAAATTTATGAACGGAAAGTAAGTTCCGTTGAACCAAAGGAACATGTAAAAAGTCTGTTAAAGCAAAATTGGACAAAGATGTGCGAACAGAGGATGATACAATATGAGCAATGGGCAAACTTGATTCATTACCAATTTTTACAGTATCCAGTCCGTGGTAGTCAGAGGATATGTTAAGGTTGGCGAGGTCAGGAGTGATGTGGTGGGTCGCACCAAAGTCCGAAAACCAACTAGAGCTGGCTGATGGAGCTGCTGTAGTATTGTAAGCATGTACTGGAGGAGGAGATGGCATGTGATAGGCTTCATTGAAGCGATTGTAGCATTGAAGAGCAATGTGGCCAAATCCGGTTACAAATCTGGCAGGTTGCACGCTGGGCATGTGCACGAGAAGATTCTGAAGGATAGGGATGCTGTCCACGGCCACGACCACGACCATGAGTACCGCGAGAACCTCTGTGGTGATGTTGGCCTCGAAGGGTAGGAAAAGAGGTGTTGGTATGTGTACTGCCTTGAGCAATATTAGCAGTAGGAACAATGTTTGTAACAGTAGACTCATGAGTGATATGAAATTCTTCAGTTAGCAAATAGCCAAGAAGATCTGCAAGAGTGACAAAGTCAGCTCTTGTTGAAATGGAAGTCCGAAAAGGACCATACTCTGTTGGAAGGCCACCAAGGATGTAGAGAATGAGATCGCTCATGAGTGATGAGCGAGCGTCTTTGCATGTTGAAAATATTTGTGCACCGAGTCGGTGCCTTTCTTGAGAGCTTGAAGCTCCATATGAAGTTGAAGAATTCTAGCACGGGAATGTGCAGCAAAGGATGCTTCAAGAGCAGTCAAAACTTCATGAGAAGTAGAGAGTCCAACAACTTGGGCATGAATTTCCTCTGTGAGGGGAGCAATCAACCAGCCCAAAAGTAGTTGATCTTGGCGGTGCCATAAAACATACTCAGGATTCAAGGTTGAAGAAGAATCAAAGGAGGAAGAAATAACTTTAGGTGGAGAAGGAAAAGAGCCATCCACATATCCAAGAACACCATGACCACTAAGTTGAGGCATAATCTGGGAGTGCCAAAGATGATAATTGTCTGCTGAAAGTTTGGTTGTAAGGGTATTGGTGTGTGGCGATGAGGAGGGAAATAGGGTGTTGGGAAGTGAAGACGTTGTTTGATCTGTAGTGGCAGATGAAGAACTCATGATGAGCTAAAGAAGAATTTGCAGGTTCAGGTCTTAGGCTCTGATACCATATAAGAACTTAACTTACAGAAGGAAAATCACAATTGTATTGATACTAGTTGAGTTACATTTATAGGGAGACTGTTACAATGAGATAAGCTGAAAATGAATTGATCCTTATCATTTCAATCTAGTGTGTTTATCTGATCTTATCTTATCATCTAATACATTTGATTTTTGAATTTGAGCAGTATCCTTAACAGTTTGTGACAGTAAGAGAGAGAATGATGGCTTTGTCTATTAAACTAACTAGGGACAACTGTATATAGAACAGGCCATCAATAACAAGGATCTAAATAGTTTTCAAACCCTACTGTTATCTCTCGTACTCTATATCACTAATTTTTCCAGATCCAAAAGAAAAAAAACAATCAAAATCGAAGACGCTCTTCATAAATAAGCATCAAATTATCAGAAATTTTCTATTATGTTTATCAATAAACAGATTCAACAAACAAAGAAAGCACGAAGAAAAATCAGTGTTGGACCAACCTTCGTACTCGAATGTCGCATTCGCTAGGGAAAAATTTGCAGTCACAACTCTTGGATTGATCATCCAGAATTGCCAATGAAGATGAAACTTGGACCGGTTGAAGTTTAAATTGAGATCGACAGCCTGGGAGTTTCTGAATCGAATATGAATTTCGGAATCTATCAAAAGAATCAAGAAAAAGCATATCTTAAAAAACACACATAGTAATCTGTTTTTTTAGCATCGTAGAAATAATTTTTTTTTTGATTCACTTGTCATCATTTATTACTTTTTAGGATGAATTACACTTTCTATCCTAAAAAATTTAAGATTTTTATTTAATTCTCTCAAATATTAAATTTTTCATATTTTACCCTCAATATATTAAAAGTATTGTAACATGACATTTCTGTTAGTTTTTCGTTAAATTTTTTGTTAGTGTCAATAAATTGACTTTTGACGAAAAAAATATCAAAAACTAACAGAAAGACAAAATTATAACACTTTTGATATATTAAATGTACAATATGAAAAATTTAATCTTTAAAAGTGTAAAATAAAAAATTTTAAATCTTTCATGTCGCAAAGAGCAAAAAAAACCCTCACTTTTATGGTAAAACTTGTCATCTTTTGTAAATTTTTTTCACTTATCAATATGGTACCCAAAAAAAATGGGTATTTTTGTTCTTATACCTATATAATAAGAGAGTTAAATTGTTTGCCTTGATTTTTTTATGTCTTATATTATTTAAAAATTATTGATCCGACGATTTTAATGTAAAATTTTCTCCCCCCAAATTTTTTGAAAAAAACTTTCATTCTTTCGACGCTCTAAATCCTACATTTCACATAATTTTTTTTGTCTCTATCTCTATCTCATTCTATCTGATCCGGATGCAACTCACATGTTTCTCTCACTCAACTCTCTGTCCTTCTCGCATATCTCTCACTTAGCTCTCATATCCCCTTTATATCTCTTTCTCTCTCCCTTCCTCTTTTTCTCTGCCTACACCCTATAACACACGCACGCGCCGACATCAATTACTGTCTCAATCGCGATATTTTCTTTATCTCAATCATATTTTTTTTTTTTTTTGTATGTGTACGTACGAGTGCGCATTAAATGTGTTTTCTGTATAAGATTAGTCACATACAAATTCAGACACGACACGTTTAATAAATGAATAAAAAATTTTAATATGAACACGAACCATTTAATAAACGAATAACATGACACGATTCGTTTAATCAATTTAAAAATAACAAAAATAAAAAATATAATTTTTTAATAAATTTTTACACTCAATTTTTTTTTTCTTCCAACTGTAGTTTCCTCAATTATAGGAGTTCCGACCAACAATTGTCAGCCACGTGATAAGCCACACAGCAATGGTCAGCCACGTTATAAGCCACACCATAGTCCCCATGATAAGCCAACAACCACTATTCTCTTCACTCCCCCGTCGATGTGGGATTCAAAGAAAAGACAATTCAATGCCTCAGAGGCTTAAAACTTTTATTTCCTATTTTTTTCGAATTGGTTTCCTTACTTTTTATTTTTTGAAATGTTTTATTTACTTTTTTTTCTTTACTCATTCATTATTATATATATATATATATATATATATATATAAAATAATTATTAATTTATTATTATATTAAATTTATTTAAACAGGTAAACGGATGATAAATTGTTTGACAGGTTTCATCTGAACACGACCCGTTTATTAAACGTGTTTGGCGTGTCAACTCGTTTATCACCCAAACCTGCTTAATTCGTGTCGATTAATCGTGTTGTGTCGAATTTTGACGGACCTAATGTTTGGACTTAAAATATAGACTTGACCAATCATAAGATTTATAACTATTAAATAGATAATGAATCTCAATAAATAATGGAATCCAAAGTGAAATCAATGATAGTGATTGATTAAATCCATATAACATTGCTAAAAAAAATTGTCGATCAATCTAATTCATCAGTATTTTTGAGTTGATCTGAGTCATGAAAAATTAAAGATAAGATAGACCCTTAAATGTAATTTATGTTTTGCTCAGAATTAATTTGAGTCGAAAAAAACTCAAGATACATTTTGAGATTCAAACTTCGCTTTACTTTATTATATAGAGTTCAAACAAAGATTTTTTGCTGGACAAATATATATCTTTATGGGCAGGTCTCGTGTTGTCTTTTTGTCGAAATAAATTAATAGATTTAGATAGAAAGACTAAATTAAAATTCAGTTAAAACTTTAAGTATGTAATTGTATCAATTGAAATTTTAGGATTCAAATAAAAATTATATTCATACTTTAAGAGTATAAATTATAATTACTTTGCACCAAATTTTGCATGACTACTTGGGGTTTGATACGCTCAATCATGAATAAATTTTAAGAAAACAAGGAGCACGTGCACACGGAGTCTCAACAGTCAAAGCTTGTAACAAAGGTTTTTGAAACTTGGAAGACGCGGTTTTTGCTTTACCTTCTCTCTCTAGAAATTTTGCTAGGGTTTGGTTGTTCTTTGGTTTGGTCGTTCTTTGGTTTGGTCACTGTTGATCGAAGCTCTTTGGATCATAAGATTTGAAGTTTGCAAAATGTGAGTGATTCGCAGCTACAGGGAACATATCTACCGTTCTTTGGATGATGTCCATTTTCCACGACCTAAACACACCCTTAAATTTGTTATTCAATGCCTAAATGCTCAGTTCAAATTAAATTGAACAATAGTCAACAGGAGTTATCCATAGTACCGATTTTTTTTTTTTGGTATCATACTTCCATTTACCACTGTTGTTAATATTTTTATTATTGATGTGGTAACTAAAAAAATGATAAAAACACCCACAACTGTAATAAAATCACCCACAAATATGATAATTTTTTTCGTACAGAAAAAAAGTGATAAATGTGGTGCCCCAGTATTCCAATGAAGTCTAAGCATATCTTCTTTTTTCAAGAAATCCCAGAATATCTTCTTCATTGTTTGATTAGTCATCTTCTTCAGTGTCTGCTTGGTCATCGCTCGACGAATTGATTACACGTATCACCAAACCGTTGTTTGTAGTCCAACAATCATCGCCATCGCCAAGTTTGACAAATGTTGTGTCCTTAAATGTTGACGTAGATTCAAACATATCTTCACTGTTTGATTGATAATTCTTCTCTTCATGCTCGTCATATATAAGATTGACTTCAAACTCCTTTATCACCAAACACTTCATTGAAATCTGAAGATTCAATTTATTGCCAGGTTTACACCCATTAAGCTTCCAACGACTTAACCGCATAATATATTCATCTGATTCTGGAAGTCCAAACCATGCTGGCTCATAGGTCAACATATTCTTGAACCCATTATCGACTTCAATTTTAATTAATAGCTCATCAAACATTACCCCTTCTTCGGAGATCTCGTACACACAACGCATGTTCAACCCATGAATCCTCCGATTTTGAACTGAAGGGACACTAACAAATGCTGAGGACCATGCACGCGAATTGCTGGAGCAGCCCAAAGCATTCCCCACGGGAACAAATACGCTGCTAATGCCATCCTGCGACAAAACCTGTGTCATGAAACTTATAATTTTTGCTTGTTCAAACTATACATTACCTTCATGTGGTTTAACCCATAACACTTTGCTTCCCTATACTTTAAAAATCTGAAAATGTAACAGCTAAATTTTCCTAGTGTGGTTTATTCCTAAAAAATTATAGAAATTGAAATATCTACTTCATGCATGGAAATGAAGATGGAAAAAGATTTGGTTTATTTTAGAGGGAGAAAAAATAAAGAAGAAATAACATACATAAAAGGATATAAAAGTAATAGATTACTGGGTCAAACTATACAAAGGTAATATATAATTTGCCGTTAATCATGATTCTTTTTTATTTATCAGACCGTGAATCATGATTGGAAGGAACTATTGCATTAGCACCCAAGTTGTAGAGAGAGAGAGCACCTGGGTTGGGAGAGCCTTTCCCTTTACCGCTGACATACTGAACAAGAAAGCCTCGATGTTTCCAATGAATTCTATATTGGACAACTCAAAGTTGTCAATAATTTCTGTGTCAGTGTTTAAAATGGGTTGTAACAATAAATGACCTTGGACTTCGACTAGATTCACACAGTGCTCAACTTCGAAATGTGTCATGGAGGCCGATGATGATGCATGTGTAATTTTTTCCAACGACGTACACCCGTCAGCGCTTAACAGCCGCTTTATATGGGGTAGCCCCACCAGGGTCTGCAGACTTGTACAGGAAAATACATAGAACTCACTCAGACTGTCAAGACCTTTGATGCAATCTGGTAAGTTACAAATCGGATTTCTGCTTAGATCTATCACCTCCAACGAGGTTAGGCTACTGAAATCTTTTGGAAAATCACCATCAGATAGATTGCATCCGGCAAGGCTTAGTGTTACTAATGAATGTGGTAAAGCAGTCGAAAAAAATTTTGAGAGTTGTGGACGAGTTCTTTTTCTAGATCTCCCAAACCACATCAATGGATGCCACTGCCTATTCTCTTCAGTAGTAGATGGTAAGAGGCTGAGGTCGATTTCATTAGCTTGAAATGTTTTAAGCGATTTTATCTCTTTTAGCTCCAATGGCACCTCTTCAAGATTTGAGCAACCAGAAATATTTAATGTTTCAAGAGAGCTAAGCATGCCAATATTTGTTGGAAGTTTCTCAAGACTTCTGCAATCTTTCATATTCAAGAGAACAAGTTTCCCAAGACTGCCAATTGATTCATGAACCTCAACCAAATTTACACAACCTTTTAGGATCAATCTCTCAAGACTTGGGAACCCAGAAAACATTGGAGTTTTTTTAAGGCCATGACAGTGTCGAAGGTCAAGAATTTTTAATGACTCAATACACTGAAAAAAATTGAGGAAGCTAATGTCAGAGACAAAAAAAAAAAAAAAAAAAAGGAACCACAAAAAATATATATATATATACAAAGGTTAGAAACAGAGGGTAACGTGGAACAATCGCATACCTTGGCTCCCTTCCATAACTGTTCTAAGCTACTATTACGCATGTCAATGGCAACCAGATTATCCATAGGAAAATCATTTGGGAAATATTTCAACCAAAATCCGTGCCAACACAGCCATCTAATGTTGTTTGGAAATTCTTTATAGCCTCCAACAAGTTGTACATAGTTGATCTCTAGTAGTCTCAATTCGTGCATACATTGGAATGCATTGGTTTCCAAGCTCCCATTGTACCGATTGTTGGAATTAGAGACTTCCATGGTATGCATATCTTCCGCAAGCATTTTCATATTGAGAGCAAGTCCTCTGATTGTCTTAGTGCCCTAATAACAAAAACAATAAGGATAAGAGACAGGGAATAACAATATATGCAATCACATGCACATAAACATACAAGAAATAATTTCCTTACAATTTTTTCTTTCAATACTTTGAAGGAATCTCTATGCTTCCACAGTCTACTACGCTTGCCAAGCTTCTCAGGTGACAACTGACGAATAATTTCTCTTCCCATACGCTGAATCAATGTATGCATCATCAACTTGTTACCTCTTATTTTTATGAGACATCTATCAATAAGAGTTTGAAGCTCAGCTGGACCGAAATAACCACATCCATCTAATATAGTGATTGCGTAAGCCTTGTCCATTCCCACAAAAAAGCAAGCAATATCAAGGAATGAATTTCTGTACTGATCATCGGGTAAATGTTCGTAGCTTATTTGAAGTTTCTGCTGGATTTCGCTATCGTGAATTACTTCAAATCTGTCCAATGTACTTTTCCATACATCCTCCTCCATGTTTCGTAGAGCAGCACCTAAAACTTCAAGGGCTAAAGGAAGCCCTCCACACTGTTTCACAACCCTTTTAGAGTACTCCATGTAACCTTCAATGGGACGGTGTTGTTGAAATGCGTGCCAACTAAAGAGTTCAAGTGATTCATTGTAATTCAGTATCTTAACATCCATAATCTCAACTTTATAAGACCTCAACAATCGCATATTTGTGGTTGTAATGAGAATTTTACTTCCTGGGTGAAAAAACTTGTGCATATTAAGAATTGCATCTAATTGATCTTTTTCGTCCACATCATCCAAAACAAGAAGAACTTTACGAAAATGTAGAGCATCTTTTATCTCAATGATCCCTTCATGCACACTAGTTATTTTTCTCATTTCTCTCTTTTGAATATCTGAAAGAAGTTTTCTTTGCAATTGAACCAAGCCATCCCATTGTTTGGAGACTTTTTTAATATCTGCGAGAAAACTACTCCCTTCAAATTTGTCAGAATTCAAATCATAAGCATATTGAGCAATGGTCGTTTTCCCTATTCCGCTAATCTCACAGATTGCCATTATGCCCACATCAGTTGACTTATTTTGCAACCACAAATTGATGTCTTTGACACGCCTTTTGATTCCAGTTAGGTAGGATTCAATAAAAACATCACGATTCACTTTATCTTGAACAACTTCCACAACCTTTGTAATGAACTTTGACTCATACCTACAAATGGTTGCAATTATGTAACAACTGACTAGAACATGCATGTCAGCAAATAAAAGTAAATGACAATATCTCATGCAAGCAGCAAACAAACCACAACGATTATATGTAATGAATAATGTGAGAAACCTGACAATATGTATAACAAAGAATGATAATGCGATTTGTAGTTTTATACAATCTACTTTGCTTTCTTTTCTTATTAAAAGTTTTTATTTGAGCACGTTAATTAGTGGCCAGGTTTCATATCTGCTATGTGCCAAACAAAGATGCATTGTTCAGGTTCCCACTTCTTGGGCCATAAGGTTTAATCTCAGGTTTCTGGCCAATTATTCTGCAAAGCCAAATCAAATGCTACACTTTGTCAAGTTTGCCTAGATTAGTAAGCAATTGCAATTTTTATCAAGCTAGCCCTATATTTTTCATATGGTTTTGACTATGGAAATGATCATATGTAGCATGCCAAAGACAATATAATATTCTAGAAATTTTTAGGTAGTTTTTGACAGAATTCACAACATGATCAATATACATAAAACAAAACCATAATATCACATATATATATATACTTTTTATAAATTCAAAAAAACAATGATGAAACCCGAAAGCTCACGCAAAACAAATCTCTAATTTATAGTATGTATTCCCCCAAGCATTTGTCGGTATGTCCAGTCTTGTCATTTTTAACAACATATTTTGCTCATAAGAGAATATGATCGAAATTAAAGAGGGTGCAGCGAAATAGGTGAGGCACTACAAACTGTTTTTCAATTGCTTCTCAAAATATCACAAAAAATTTTCAAAACACTATCTACTGATATGCTAGAAAAGGGCTTCGCAGTAATTACCCATCTGCTTCGTTTATTAAGACCTTCCCTCCCAGTTCTGCAACTTTTTGAAGTGCTTCCCTCCATTCTTTGACCTTCTTCATCCACTCCTTCTTCTTTTTTTCATCCATTTCTTCTTTGATTCTCTTATCGTATCCATCAAATGCTTCTGCAAAACTTCCTGTTTGTTTTCTAACATGGGTTGGATCCACATCATAGAAGATAGGGAGAACAAAATGTGATGAGGTCCTTCTACGATTGAGGATCATCACTAGCTCATCAAGCCACCACCTGGAAGAAGCATAGCCTTTTGAGAAGACAATTACTGAACTCCTTGACCGTTTGATTGCTTTTTCCAGTTCTGCACCAATTGGTTCTCCTCTTTCTGCGTGGTCTTCATCTCTGAACGTGCGAAAACCTGCATTCAATAAAGCTTTGTAAAGGTGATCGGTGAATCTCTTGCGAGTATCTTCACCTCTAAAACTCAAGAACACATGATATCCACATGGAGACGAAGAAGAGGAGGCTCCTTGGGCTCTAGAAGTAGACATATATATATAGAACAAAGCACTTTGTAGATATCAAACCACTTTCTTGCTGGAATCTCCCACAGGAAGCTCACCGAATTCCTAGGTAGATAATCTAAGCAAACAGCTCATGATCAGCAGGGTTATGGGCTGGGGTGAAGAATTTCGCAAGCTTCTTGGATGTGAGACTCTGTCTCTCTCAGATCGAGTAATTAACTCGATGATCTCCTTCTGCGCTTTTGCAGAAGTATATATGGTTGAGAAACTGGCATGTATGTAAGAGTGGTCCCATGCCAAGATGTTATCTTCCTACTACTATCTGGTTTATCCTCTCTTTCACTTTCTAGCTCTCTCTCACATACGAACCACACAACCCAATTACCGTCTCACAGATTTACACACATGGAATCACCAAACGCACCCACCATTTGCCCTCCCCCTCCCTCCGATCCACTGCATACCCGTCACCGATTATCTTATTTCCTTTTGCCCGGCTGTCAATTTCTTCCCATATTTCAAATTTCACCTAGACACTTCCAACACCACTTGAAGTGGTTTTAGATCAAGGTTGTGAACTCTTAATGTCCATTGATAAAACTTTGGGGGTGTTACTGAGTTTTGTGTGGGTAAATCTTTGGGGTATCGGTCTTGTGTAGAGAGATACAGTCATGTAAGAAATTATAAAAAATATCTATTAAATTAGTAAAATTTAGAAATGTGATATCCATTTTTTTTTGTTCTGTACCATAGTCAAGTCAATGGCTGGATTGTCTGGCAGATGTCATGGACAGCGGATTCTGAGAAATTGATGGTGTGAAAGAAGAGAAATTTTTCTATATTACACACCATGTGTCACACTTATGTGGAGTGTACACCCGATAGAAGATGACCACAACAAGAGCGACTTGTCAAAGAGAATACACATCATCACCTAAGTTACTTCCCCTTGGAAAATTTCTAACCTTGAGTTAAATATGAACTTAAATTTAAATTTGTGTCAAAATAACTCAAATTTTTTTTCTAACACTAGACTCAAAACTATATTAAATCAAGGTAAAATTTATTCTGAACTCAAATTGAAATAGATTTAAATTTTATACCAAATTTCTAAAAATAATTTTTTAACTTATCTAAAACTAAAAGATTTCTTCGACGCCTTGTTTTGTGCCCCTTCATGCCTTTTCTACTATGCTACTTCATCTTTCATCTTTTTAATTTCTTGTATTTTTTAAAATTTTAATCTCATTCATCTTTCATATTATATAAATTTTATACCACAAATTCTTCCTGAAATTTTAAGTCTTAACTATCCACAGATTTATAAAATTCTTCAATTTATTTTTTCAATCTTCCATTTTTGTTAAAAACAAATATTTTTGTGTTTTTCAGATCAGACTCATATCAAAATAATTATATTTTTTTTTATCTAGATTTATAAAAAATGATAAGGGATTAGAATAATCTTAGAATTCTAGGGTAATTTCTTTATCCCCATGTAGTGTTGTAGACATATTCATTTTTTTTTTTTGAATCACCCATTTGTGGAGAGATATGAAAGTTTCATTTATTTTATCAAATATCATGATTTAAGTGACACAAAAAAAATGAGTTTTGAGCCAATAAGAAATTTTTTTAGAAGATTTGAGTAGATATTTGAGTTTGTTCGTTAGAGTACTTTATACCAATTCAAACTTTTTACTCAAATTTAAATTTAAATCATGATTGGAGATTTTTTAAACATAGTTAACCATGATGCAAATTCCAAAAAATATTTTGCAGAAAAAATCATCTCTATAATAGTATATGCAATCTTTTGTTGTACATCCTAACGAGCCCAGATTTAACTGAGTCAAGCCTAATTAATGAGATAGACCCAAATGAGCTACAAGACGGGGTCAAACTCAATTCATGAATTCGGCCAAGTCCAGAGTTTAAGAAATTCTGAAGAATTATCGCACGTGGGGGAGTAATTACTGGAATAATTGCTCTTGAAAATCAAGACAATCTTAAATTGTACTTACCTTTTGTAATTATCCTCTCCGGAGAGTTAGTACCTTTACCCTCATGTTACCGCCTTAACAAAGGGTCTGTGCTTATAAATTGTAAACTCTCTCTACATGAGAGAACATCTCTACACCTCTTTACACTTCTTTCATAGCTATATTTCTCATAGCTACCAAGAGCATATCCTTACTCTCTTTCTCATCTACTTATTCATCAATAAAGATCACCGGCCACCATTGTCGTATTCAAAATAGAGTAGATCATACTAACCGAATCACTATATATTTGTGTGTTACTTGTGTGGATTTCACCTTATATTACTGCATTTATTGTCTATATTAATTATTCGACAGATGGTGCATAAATCTACTTTTATGCATCATCACGTCCCAAATTCAAAACTCAACTTTCCTATTCATCCTCATATTTCATCGGCCCCCACCCAAAACTTTTTAAAACCTTTTCTCTTAATCTACTTTTTGGACATTTCTATTAATTCAATATCAGCAGTGTATCAAGTTCATCTTCTGTGGCATTTGAACATCAGACCTTCGAGATTCCAAGTGACAAACTAGCACCACTGTAGTCTTATGGGAATTCAAACAAGAAAATAGAAAGCTTTTTGTCCTTCCTCCTTCCCTTTCTTTAATTATGTACATTGAAATAATTATCAACATGTGTATAATATTATATTATATATAAATAATGTTTGTAATAAAAAACTTGTATTGAACCACAAATTTATCAAAAAATACAATGATTACTTTTAATAGAAATGAGTGATGTTATATAAATAGGCAAAAAAATAGGAATAAGATTCAAACTCTTAGTTATAATATTAAATTCCAGGAATTGTCTGTACTTGAAGGTATTATATTACCAAAAAAATTTGAAATAATTTTTGCATCACAACAAGTTATAAACCCACGTTTGAGTTTAGAATTTTATTAGCGCACAACCAAAATCAAATTTTCAAAAAAAAAAGACTTAAGAAAACTAATAATACTACATGTTTTTGAGGCTAACATACTCCTATTATATTAAGGAAGGACTTCAATGGGTGTCCCCCCGATTTGGAACTCTCTAATCTTGTTACTAAAGAGTACTGAATCATATACATAGTGTGCCACAATTCTAGTATTAAATATGACCAATACACCAACAACAATGCATACATAACTAGTTTCTTTGGGAAACTGAGCTTTACCAAATCAAATAGTTGTTATACCAAAAACCCAACGTGCATTAATTGTTGGGTACATTTGCTAATACTCAAAACTATCAAGTATGAACTAAACCTCTTTTATATGCTGGGAGGTGCAAAATATAATTTCATAAAATAATCAAAACCTTCACCTACCACTGCACCGTTGCTACTTTTCAAAGGCAATGATTACACCTCCTCTG